GCTAATAAAGAAAATAGTACAATTCTAATATGGCAAGAAGAGAGTGTCAATCCAACAATGATCATTTCCGGTAATTTTACAAAACCCAATTCTCTCTTCGTGACATCAAATGGCGATATTTATATTGATGATGGTGCTAAGAATGGTCGAGTGCATAAATGGATAGTAGAAACAAACAACTTTGTTACAGTGATGAATGTCAACTCATCATGTTATGGTTTGTTTGTCGATATCACTGATACTCTTTACTGTTCAATGTACTATCATCATCAAGTAGTAAAAAGATCATTAAATGATTCTGTGATGAGTTCAAATCGTGTTGCTGCTGGAACAGGTATATGGGGATCAGATTCGAATCAATTCGATCGTCCACATGGAATTTTTGTTGACGTAAATTTGGATTTATATGTGGCAGATTTCCTAAATCATCGAGTTCAGTTGTTCCAGTCAGGAAAATCAAATGGTATCACAGTAGCTGGAAGTGAATCACTAAATCTAACAATTACACTTCGTAATCCAACTGGAATTATATTAGATGCGGAGAAATATTTGTTCATTGTGGATTATGGAAATGATCGCATTGTTGGTTCAGGTTTGAGTGGTTTTCGATGTTTGATTGGATGTTATGGAGAAGGTTCCCAAAACAATCAATTGAGTGGTCCATGTAGTTTTAGTTTTGATCATTCTGGAAACATGTTTGTTATTGATTCATCAAATCATCGGATTCAAAACTTTTTATTGATGAAAGATTCTTTTGGTAAGTTGAAGAAAAGTTGCACAAAATGAATAGATGTGAACAGATAAGTAACAGAAGTTAATAGAGATATTTCCATATAAAAAACGAAAGAAAACAAAAATGGTCGATAAAGATTAATGAAAAAACAATGTGTCTAGGGAAATGAAATGTTCAGATTAGGCAGAGCCACGTGTTAACCGTCTAAGACAAACAATCTTCGCCTTTTTCTTGAGATTCAAAAATAGAGAAAGAAAAAGTTCTGTGCCTAATGAAGTGGTAGAAAAGACTTTCATGTTTCATTTCATATGTCTCAAATAATATTTCATCAATGAAACAGTTTTATCGAAATGAAATCTGTTCATATCTTTGTTAATATAATTTTAATTATAAACTATTTTATGATTTGACTTCATATCTCGACATGTTCGATTCACCGAAGATAAGACAAATAAAATGTCATAATTCTAACAGCTAATTTTGCTTCTTTTTTTGTGCAAAATGAATTTAGTCATTGTTTCTCTTTGAGAGAGATGAATTTCTTCAAATCTTTCAAAGGATTTTCAATAAAAGTTAAACAAATATATTTTAACAATATCACAAGTCCTATTTTATATTAAAATTAATAAAAGTTATTCGTAAAATCAATACTAACAAACATTTCTAAATATTTTTTTCATGAAAAATTTCTCTGAAGAAACGTTATTTTTCTTCTACGAATGTATTAATTAATAATTTCATTTCATTTAGTTCTTCTCTAATATTCTTTGTATTTTTCTTGTTTTTAGTTGTTTCATTCAATCAACCAAAGTTTTGTTCAACTGCCGCTTGGAATTTCAATGCAACTACCACTGCTGATGAATCGATTGTTGGTCAATTTCCTCTTGCCAT